CCACGTGACTCACCTTGTGCTTGGCTCGAGACTTTACAGGACATGGCTCGCAACCGACACCAGTTGCGCGTCTGCTGCCGTCTCCTAATCGGATTGTCTGTTTAAAGTGTGTTTGGTGCTGAGTTATCTGCGGGGTAATGGCTGATTATGACGCGTGGCAGTGAAAGCCGCAAAGAAGCTGTCTCGCCGATGCCGCCTTATCTTTGCACGATAGCCAGCTGTTTGTGACGGTATGTTGTCTACACAAGGTGTAGGCGCCTTGACCCTGAATGTTTGCTTAGGGCATTAAGGTTTTCAGGTAAGTCCCCCTTCTCTCCCTCTTCTTATTCTTTATTTCATAGGTCCTCATGGTTGTATGGCAGCGAAGTATCAGTTCAAATGGCTGATGTACTGCTGTTGATGATGATCATCATCATCATGTCACGATACAAGGCGGAATTGTATTGGGGCCCTCTATCGGTAGTAATAGTGGTTGGCGTGCCAAAGACGGAAATCCAATTCTCAATGAGTGTTCATGCCACAGTTTCTGCAGAAGCATCACGTAAACGCACGGCAAGTGGCCAACGCGTATAAGGATTAACACATGTCAATAAGTACACAAAACCGTTGGATGGAGGCAAGGGTCCAACGATGTCAAGATGAACATGTTTGAGACGAGCGTCGGGAAGAGCAAACGTACCGGGGACGGTAATCGTGTGACGGCGAATCCTGCTGGTTTGGCAAGTGATACAGTGTTTGGCCCACTGCTGGATCTCGGAGCGCATGTTGTGCCAAATGAAGCGATCAGTAATTAGCTTGACGGTAGATCTGATGCTCAGGTGTGAGATTCCATGCAGGTGGTCAAAGACGATTCGGTGGTATTGCTGAGAGACAAAAAACCGGGGATTGCCGGTAGAAATGTCATGGTAAATTTTGAAGTCTGAGTTAAGGATTGGGAACTGTGATATTTTGATCGATGGATTTGATCTCAGTTGCACAAACTCAGGATATCCTTCCTGATGAGCTGCTTTGTCTTCTAAGTTAATCGTCTGCCGTGAAACTTTGTGAAGGCAGATACGCGACATGACATCGGCGACAACATTATTGGCAGCATCAGCATGGCGAATATCGGTAGAAAACTGTGAAACCTAATCCAAATGACGAATTTCTCTAGGGAGGAAACGGTCGGATGAACCACAGAATGCAAATGGTTTATGGTCTGTAAGAAAGGCAAACGAGCAACCTTCAAGCAAGTGCCGGAAATGTTTGATAGTGAGGTAGACAGCTAAAAGTACGCGACCAAAGGTGCTGTATCGCGTCTGTGCTGGCTGAAGTTTGCGACAGAATAAAAGATAGCGGCTCAGGTTGACCGTTGATTACCTGCTGCAGAACAGCCCCAACGGCCGTCTGAGATGCATCAGTCTTGAGGATGAGAGTGATGTCAACAGTAGTCCTCAAATGACTAAGCGCGGTAGCGTTGAACAACGCGTGCTTAATGTTGTCGAATGCATGAGTGGGCTCGAATTTTCGTGACCTGCCTTTAAGTAAATCGGTCAATGGCTGGGGTAGCCCAGAGCAATCTGGTATGAAACGGCTGTAATAATTCACTATGCCGAGAAAACGACGCAGACATTCGAAGGATTGCGGCCTGTGGTAATCTGTAATCGCTTGTGTTGTCTCGGGGTGGACTAATGCCATTGCAATCAATTCGGTGGCCCAAAAAACAACAGAACTTTGGCCAAAAACACATTCGTCAACATTGAACGTAACGCCGTACTGAGCAAAGCGTTCGAAGATCGATCAAAGATGTGACAGATGCTCATCATGATTGGAACTGGCCACAAGAATATCCTCAATGTCGAGCCCCCCAAGGACTTGATCTATAAACCTTTGGAAATTATGTGCGGCATTTCGTAGACCAAATGGCATGCGAAGGAATTCATAAAGACCAAATGGCGTGGTTATGGCAGTCTTGGGAATATTGTTGGGAACAACCGGAATTTGGTAGTATGCACGCACCAAGTCAACCTTAGAGAAAATTGTTCCTCCATGTAAACCAGTTAAAAAATCATGGATGTGCGGAATCGGATATCTATCGGAGACAGTGGAATTGTTTAGTGCCTGGTAATCTCCGCAAGGTCTCCAGTCGCCACTGGACTTTTTTGGAAGCAAATGAAGCGGGGAGGACGATGGGCTATTTGAAGAACGAACGATAACGAGACAACGCATTTGCTCGAACTCTGACTTGGCAGTAACGAGCTTGGAGGTAATCGTCTAGGTCGAGCGATTACTGGCCGTCTACGTGTTAAGATGTGGTGTGTAATTTGGTGCTTAGGCTCAGGAAAGTCATTAGACGGTTGATAAAGAACAGGAAACTGCATCAATAGTTTAGTGAGGATATTGTCGGCAGGCGATGTCAAGCGGAGAGCGATCGAACTGACTTTACCAGAAACGGACAAGGATGTCAAAGTATCGCACAGTTTACGGTTACGCAGGTCCACAATCAGGCTGAACTTGATAAGAAAATGTACATCAAGAATGGGGCGTTTGACGTCAGCGATGAGAAAAACAAAGGGAAAACTTCGACGAAGACCAAGGTTGAGCCTCAGAATTTTTTGGCCGTATGTATGGACCCTAGTATTGTTCGCCACCTGCAATGTCAGTCCGGTTGGAAATAGGTTGCGTTTTTCTGTAGCACGGGGAATAACGCTGACATCGGCACCGGGTATCAACCAAAATTACAAATTGGTTGAGGAATCGTAGACGTAAAGTAGGCGACTATAAGATTGGCCAGACGCCGCTGTCACTATCACTGGCTGGCATGGTTTCCCTGCTGCAGTTTGTGGAATGCCTTCGAGTGGTAACAACCAGGTCGACAATTCCTTGCATCATAGTCAAAACGGTGATGGTACCAAGAGAAATGACGTATCGAACTCCTGGGGGAACTACATCTACTTCGAGAGGAGCGTCTAGGGCTTCCACCACGGTAGCCATTAATGCTCGAAATAGCGAGCTCCAGCTTCGGTAACCTCTCGGAAATGGCTTCAATCGGGTCTGTCTTAAGATCGGCGTTAGCGGTAGACTCAACTGAGTGTCATGCTGCGGTTTACATGAGAGTCTTCATGAACTTTGTCTGCTGTCTCGGCCAGTTTGTCCAAAGACAAATCATCTGCAAACACAGCGAGAAGAGCTGGAAGATATTTTGTCTAGAACTTTCGCAAAATTGCGTCATCGATCTTAGAGGAACCGACCAACGTGCGCATGTGCCTGAGGAGTTGTGACGGCGTGCGATCGCCTAGTTCAACACCGAAAAGTAACTGTCGAAGTCTAGCTTCGTCGGAAGCCGTGAAGCGCTTTAATACGGCGATTTTCAGCTTAGCGTAAGGTGCGTCGGTCGGAATCGGATCGAGCAAACTTATAAGGTCGGTTGCGATGGGGGTAGGAAGCTGGGCAGTGACATGCGCGAGCATTAACGACTACGAAATAATATGACGTAGGCGAAAGAGAGCTTCCAATAGTAAAATCCAGACGTGAGGATTAGATGAATCAAAGGCAGGGAAGGAGAAACCAACAAAATTTTCTGAATTGTCAGTGTGGGAATCGTGATCCGACATAGTAAAGGCGCAAAAAAGGAGTTCTGAGCTTGCAAAAAAGAGAAAACGGGGGCACCAAATATGTAGTGGAAAGGCCAAACTAAAAGGGCTTAACTACATAAAAGAACTCCCAGTCTATAAATTAAGAATGCTGGATCTGATCTTAGGTAAAGCACAATCCTCGGTAGGCCGTCAGTCGCAAAATCCGGTCAAGAGACGGAAGTTAGTTAGCACAATAATTCGACGCGCTAGATACGATGATCAATGAATGAGGCTAGAAGACCGACGACGATCAACAGCACAACAAGCGTAGCCGAAACCAGAAAGCGAATCGAAACCCGAAAAAGTCTTTTATCGGATGTTGGTCAGTTAAAACAAAACTGTACAATAATAATGGAAATGAGAATAGGAAAGTACAATTGGGAAGAGAGATATGTACAATCGCTAGACACAGATCCATAGTAAGAGGTTCCGTGTTATGCTAATTCCGCAGAGATTAGAGAGTAGTTCCTGATTAGGGACTGTCAAAAGCTTTGTTGAAGTCGATGAAGACCACATCTAAACGTTTTCCAGCGTCCATTGCTTTAGCCTACTTCTCTCTTGAGACTAGCCGGTTAGTGTAGCTGGAACGTTTCTTTCGGAAGCCATGCTGAGTTGACGAATTGGTTCAGATCTTCGTAGTGTCGGTGGATGGCATATTAAACGAGCTTTTCCATGATCTTGAAGACGATCAATGTCAAGCAAATTGGCTGACAGTTCGCAGGGTCCTGGCGGTTTCCATCCTTGTATTTGGGTAAAACTATATCCGTCTTCCAATCGACAGGAACTCGATCAGCTTTGAGAGAGCTGAAGTTGACAAAGTGGGACGGCAAGGAATTCTGTCAATCTCTTGAGAAAATGGGGGTGTAGCGCGTCTGGGCTGGTGAGGAAGCCGGTTTCAGTTCTAGTGGTTACTTCAAGGTAGAATTTTCATCGATATCGATATGTCCCATAGGTACTGTATGTGGAAGTACATGATTGTTTGCGAGTTTCTTCCCCATCGTGCATACTGTGGAGAACTGTGGAGCCAAAAGGTCCGCTTTGGCATCATCATCATAGTGTATGATACCTGGCTCATTCGTGGACAATGCAGAAATTTCAAAGCAGACCAGGGAAGATCTGTTAAGGTATGAAAATAGTCTCTGGTTTAGAAAGCAATTGTTCAGCCAAGTTATGCGCGCATCGTTGTCTCTTTTCACGTTTCTGCAAGGAGAAGGTTCCTAACGGCCTTGCATCTAGCAGAAATGGAAGAAATGATAGAATAAAAAACAACAAAAATAAAGGAAATACATTCCGGCAGAACGTAAGTGCCAGAATATGGTATAACGTAGTTAAATTTCACTTAGAGAACACAATATAAACCATGACAGCACAAATTTAGAAGCATACATTTATGAGAGCGTCAAATTAGTAGGAACTTGCTGTGTAATTTCGATGATGTACTGTAGACCACTCTCTACGAATAGCCTTAAAGTAGAAGAATATAAATTAAGCGAGGCGATGATTGCATGAAAACGTTCAAATATATATATATATATATATATATATATATATATATATATATATATATGCAACAAGAGTAGGGGAGTTTCAGATTGATTTCAAGGGTTATCGGCTACAGACTGCTACAAGTTTATACGGTAAACAATCTTAGTCATTTGCATTTACTTTATTAAACAGATAATAATGCACGGTAATTGCAGAAATAATAATTCCATAGCGGCATATTGTTCTTTCGCATGTGGCTTAACATTTGTTTCCATATTCCCCAGTTGTTTCGCTTTTATCTAAAACCTAAAAAAACCGATTCCTACAACAAGCTACTAATAGCTGGTTTTTCCAAGCACACTTTTCTATACTAAAACTGGTGATCATTAACATTTGTACATTACACCTGTGCACAAAATGTAGCGCGCAACAATGACAAAATTTAGTTTTTCGGTCCCTATTGATTCAACGAGCCCGTGTAATTATCGAATAACGTTTAAACGTACATTTGCATATATAGCCAAAGCTCTTTGGTTAAAACAAAGTATACCGTGTTGTATATTCAAAGCTGAAAATTTCTACAACTAAATGTTATCATTGGCAAATTATTATAATGATTAGCTAATAAGGTTTGCACGCACAAGTATATTTGGAAGCTTTTATCACGACTGAATTTCAGCAAACAATGGCTCATTAGCATCCGACTGCAGCTTGCTTTTTTGTCGTATTGCTTTTGGTTTTTACCACAGTGCTAGCGTGATGGAGAATGCGGTGCATGCTGGTGTGTTCCTAACATCCTGCATAGTTTTTGTGTGTTCAGTCATGACTGCGCAGCCTGGGGGTTTCCCGCAACAATGTGTGAACTTCTGCCGCGTGCATTCCATGGGTGATGCATACTGTGGGCAGCGGTACGTGATATTGCATGCACTGTTTGTTGTCAATAATAGAATCCGTGACGAACCACTTTGCAAGCAAATGTCTGATAACGAGGGGCTTCAGTATCTCTGAATTAACCTGGTATGACCTACTTTTTGAGGCGAGAAAAGGTTTACAGCCGAACTTCTTGACTTGATACCAGAAGTACCCTTACACCAATATTGCATCCACATGCCAGGTATATGGATGGTCATGCGCTTTTTCTCTTGGAAACGGTTTTCGTATAGTCGTTTGACGTTGCTTGATCCTGCGTGGTTTACACAATTTATTCATGACCTAGCGACGGCACTACATACAGATTGGGTAATTTACGCAGATGGTTTAAAGCTAGGGATGTAAGTCTCCCGTATGGATAAAGCTGACGAACATCAACACGGCTCGACTCGCTGCCTGATTGATCGATCAGTCGCCAATTGCCTCCGAGCCAGTTTGAATTTATCAAGTCGGAGGGTTTTTGCTTTTAAACTCTAATGGCGCGTAGGACCTTGGCGTCGTTAAGACCACTGATCTCAAAGCAAGTGAAGGTATTTTGTAGGACTTCGTTTCAAATTTGCACGTAATTTGATTGACAGACTGCCGCTGGCAAATGTTCCAACACATTGTGGCTGATACGCAGGTCGTTTGAGACCATGACCACCGAAAAGTTCGTTAGACTATTTTCGGTTTGTGTAAGATCGCACTTAGAATACTGCCTTTAGGCATTTCCCCATGCCTGGTTCGTGATGAGATGGCAGTTCAACGAGTCCTGCGGTCCTGGACGAAAATTTTGCACGGATTAACGGGGCTGTGGTACCCGTATAGGTTACTTTAGTTAAATATGTACTCCATGTAGTACAGGCGGCTTCGGGGTGACTTGTTCCTCACATATCGTATACTGATGGTTAAGATTGGACCTGATTTGATTGGATAGTTTTGCCCAACTCGAGCGCCAACCTAAAAGTTAGTACCATAAACATGTAACGCACGCTTCTGCGACACGTAAGCTCAAAAAGCGGAATACGTCTAAACAGCAGGAGGTTTATAAGTCAATTGAGAATGTACAAGGTTCACGGAAACGCGCAGCGAGACCGAGGGTCTGTGTGTCAGATGATTTGCTGGCTGGTGTGAGTGGTAACCACACCGCGCACGGTTGAAGCAACCGGATCGGTCATTCGGGTACGTTAAAAAACCCTTCCTGGCCACCCATTAACGTTGCACTAGCGCCGGTCTGAGCAGGTTTCGGCAGCTTTTCGGGTATCGCGTATGGTTATATCTTTATGGAACACAGAGCCTGCAGACGCTGGGATGGCCCCGGATGGCGAAAGAGTTCGAGCACCACTTTGACGCTCTCGGTCTGCAGTTTAATGTCTTCCACTTCATGTCTTAAACTTCACTCGTCTACTACGACCTACGCTACCTTAACTCATTTTAACTTATAAATAAATAAGTGAATGGTATTTGCTCGGTAAAACGATACACACCTGTAAAGGCGCGACCAAATATGCATACAAGCATAGCATCTTTGGAATATTAAAATATTTCGTGTTAATGAAGGCATAACCGAAAATATGCAGTCCATACGAGTGAGCATTTTGTCAGGTAATAGTAAGACCGAAAAAAAGATGATGGCGCTGGGGCGCGTAAAATTCAGTCATAACTGTTATGACAAGCTTCAAGTTGGGTGTGCTTTCCTCATCTAGTTATCTATGAGCACATGAGCCCAAACAAGGTTTTGATACAATGAACGCGAATTAAGAAATAGGAATGGTCTGTGCTCCATCAAAGCATTCTTCATAGTAAAAGCAGTTGCACAGGTTATAGGTAGAAGTCTGAGGACTGCGTCAGTGTGCAATGTTCAGCTGTGAGTTTATTCAGGGGCGAGTCACAGCCGCCACGTTGCAGAGTTGTTAAGGGGCTATTTGTGGCTTTCCACAGAGCGAACACTTGCTAGGCGAAAACCCACCACGTCCTGGAACACTGCCGTTGCTTCCGTCAAACAGTAGTTCTAGCCGGCTATGCATCGTACCGACCGAGTTTTCACTCAATTATTCGCAGTCGTTTAACAGCCAACAGTCTTCCTTGGTTGACCGGTTGGCTTGGTAATGATCCGGCGGTAGTCGTTGAAACCGGTCGATTATGCAAAAGAGTCGCAGAGTCGTGTGATGAAAGCTGCAGTTGATTAAAAACATTGTTAATAAGGGCTGGCTTTTCTGTTATTTTGTTGTCCGGCTCACAAACCGCGTCCAGCTATCCACGCTGGATTTGTCATGGGGATGGTGAGTGCAATGGTTCCTTGTAACTGAATAAGTCCATAACAGGGGAAAATGCTATTCCTTTGTCCAATGCGGGATCTTTAGGAGGTTCTTAATCCGCAAAACGGGATCGGAATCTCTTGCAACGTAAGTAAGTGTAATTGTCTCTATGCTCAATTGCAAACTCCCTGAAAGGCCATTGGAAAAGCAACGCAGTCTGTGAAATGACATCGGAAAAGTTCCAGATGAATGGAGAATTGGAATTTTCAACGCAGTGAAGGTAAGCATGCCAGAATTATTTGTCTTCCGTTGCGGAACAAGGCGTCCATGTAAATATATTATTTCAGGTGAGTAGATTGCGATAATGTGAGTATGAAGCGAGCTAAAGCCATTTGTTTAGACCCCGTAAAAGTGGCGTTTTAGAATGGCGGCAATTGCTCCATTTGGAACGCTGGGTGCGTTCTTCATCTCACAGAGTAAGCCTCAAGTGTTTAAGCCGGCTGGCTCGTGAGAATGGGTCGGCCAGTCCCAGTAGATAACCATTCTCGTTTTGGCCGATGTAACTAGAACCCTCGGGAAAAACGGGTAACAGGCAAATGGCAGCCAAACAGACAGACAGCAATGCATCAAGAAGCGCTATCTAAAGACTAGTGGCGCGCAACGGTGCCTGTGATACAGTAAACCCCATGTAATTTGCTTTAGCATATACGCTTTGCAAGCACGTTCTTTACATCATGCCGCTGGTGTGGCTCGGACCACAACTACTACGTAGGAAGTAGGTTCTACATGCACAGGATCAAGAGACTGATATAACAAAGCGTGTTTACAACATTGGGCGAATTACACCATTGTTGGAGAGAAACAGATAAACCGATGATGATGACAGCAGTCCGACTGCGAGAGGCAGCTTAAGTGAAACTAAGACCAACTGGGTTGAGAATTAATGCAGGAGCAACAGTAGGTTAAGCAACGTTCCAATAGGAAAGGGAAATGCAAAGTATCGGCCATAAGCTTGTCTTCTCCCCTGTTTCTTTTCCTTTACTGGCACTACTGTTTTCTTTCATACTTCACCTGGCCGGCACAGCGGGGACTTCCAATGCGGGGCACATAGGCATTGTTTGATTGACCATGTGAATCGTGTGTGTTTATTTGACTCACCTTTGGCACATAAAGTGACCGGTTTCCCAGTTGGATCCACGACGTGTCCGAAGATGGAAAATTCGCGGGCTTTTCTACTGTTCGGGTCCCACTTGAAAGTGAACTTGAACTATCTGCGCGGAGATGGTCGAAATCCATTCCGGAGTTACAGAACTGGTCTTACTCACTTCGTCTTCAGCGTCTGAACTTGTTCTCCCTAGTTTAGCGTCTAGATCACGGAGATTGGCTTTCCACGCGACGTATCGTTAGGAGTATACTTGAAACTGAACTGCAGGATTCCTTTCCACTCAGTTCCTTCAGTAAGACTAGGGGTTATTGTTTGAAACTGCTTAAACAAAGGAGCCGTCTGGTAATTGTGACGTCCCACGGTCCACCAGAATAGTGAACGAGTGGGACTAACAACCTGTGTGGGTACTTAAGGTGCAGTAGGAGAAATGGTTCAAGCCCCGATTGGAGTTGTACCTGTAGTGGACACTCGGACGTGGTTGCTTCTTTTGTCGTTGCAGTGATTCCACTGAGACTGACATGCAACGTTCACCTGGAGCCATGTGACGAACGAGAGGCAATGGAGCTGAGGAAGGATATTTTCCTTTCGCTCTATACATTCCCCTGCCTCCAATAACTTTAAATATGGCTCCATTTTGGAGCCAGGGTC